CTGATTCCCCAGAGCTGTTCCCTCCAATTCCCCAATAAAATCTTAAAAAAAAAAAAAGAAGATTTTAGTCTCCTGTTCCTGACAGCAAAATAGAAAAAATGAACAAAAAAGCACGCTCTTCTTGTCCTCACTCCTCCTCCTCCTCCTCCTGCACACACACAACAATCCCATGTCCTTAGTCCAAAGCTGGCTTCAAAAAGTAAATACAAATACAGCTGACCCTTGAACAAGGGTTTGAACTGCATGGGTCCACCTACACGTGGATTCTTTCCGAGACAGTACAGTACTGTGAATGTAGCTTCCTTATGTTTTTCTAAATAACATTTTCTTTTCTCTAGCTTATTTCATTGTAAGAATACCATATACAATACACATAACATACAAAATATGTGTTAATTGGCTGTTTATGTTAGCAGTAAGGCTTCTGGTCGACAGGCTATTCAGTAGTCAAGTTTTTGAGGAGTCAAAAGTTATACGGTGGATTTTTGACTGTGCGGGGTGTCAGTGCCCCTAACCTATCCATTGGGGGGTGGGAACAGTGAGATAGAGAAATGTAATAGGGATGCTATTATAATAAAAGAGATGAGACATGAGGATCTAAAATGTAAGATGTCAGTAGAGGTAAGAGATGCTGCAGAGTTCAAATCAACAGTACTTCGTAGTGATCATTTTTGGGGGGAGTAAGGTAAAAGAATAAATCAGGTTTTTACGTACGTGGTTTCATTTAAAAATCTTTAAGAAAGAATCACCAGTAATGAATGCTTTGAGAATATTCACATCTAGAAATTCATAACATGTTCATTCACCTAACAACTTGATTTCATGTGAAATTTTGAATTCTGATCAAAATGATCTGAGGGAAAATAAGCATGCAATAAATAAGACAGACACAGAACCAGGCTCCTGGCTAAGCACCTTTCGTAATGTGTAGTTACCATTCCCAGGCAGGCAGCCTTATAGCTGCTCTCTTCTTTGAGAAAAGAGTTCCCAGGTTGGGAGATCTTTCACCAAAAATGTTTATCCCTTTCATTCTAAGAAGATTCAAGCTGCTTATGAAACACTTGGTGGTATTAAAATAGGCACTTTCATCTGGTTTTTAATTTCTCAGAGCAGATTAAAAAACAAACAAAAAAACCTTCCCAAAGCAAATTAACTATTATTAAATCAGTGCCAATAAATCCTCTAGTAAAAAATACAGCTCATTGCCCAGAGTTTCAAAGATTATCATAGGGCACCCTACCAGACCTCTAAAGAAGGCCCTTGGCCCATCCTCCTTCCACCCTGATTTCAAATTGAGAAGAAAACAAAACAAAACTTAAGATACTCACTCCCGCTTGTCAAAACAAAGAACTTCATCACACACTTCGCAAACTCTGGTGAAGTATTCTCTGCCATGAGACAGACATGGTTCATCTTCATGGAGCATAAGGTTTTAAACAACAATTAGAAAAAATCTTTTTTGTAAATCAAGCAAATAANATCTAGATTTAAATATTCAGAAATATAGAAAGAGAGTTTTGGGGAAACAAGAATTTTTAAGCACTGTGTTTTGAAGCAAAGGTTCCCGTTAACAAGGACCAAGGTGCTAAAGTATCACCACTGTCTGGAGGGCTGCATGAAAATGTGGGGCTTACAAATCCCATCTTTTCTCTCTCTGAGCAAAGACGTTAGCACGATGTCCAAATCAGACCATATAAAACACAGCACAGGATTAGCAGGAGTCAAAAGCTCCCAAACCTGTGTAATCTCACTTCCCTCCACCCACCTATCCCTCACCAACTTTGAGAAGGAGAAAAACCTGCTTCATTCTATAAAAGTTCCATCTCAAAGAAAATAATCTCTAAATACAAATTAACATCAATTAGGAATAACAATCCACATACTGTGCATGAAAAAAACTAAGTAATTCAGTAGGAACAGTTTGAAACTGATTCTGTCTAAACGTGCAATGAGCACAGTCACACATTAGTGGCGAATTCTGCCACAGGGTTAGTGAATTTAATCTTAATTTGAAAGGTTATCAACTAAGTCAGCTTATTTAGGAATCAAGACAAAAGACTGCTTGGGGTTACACTGAAGTATTTATTAAGTCTCTCAAACTAGGCAAAAGAGTAACCCTGTCTGCTTTATTGACTGATTTTTATCAATCACTAGAAATTAATGGACTATAATCAGAGCATATTACATAGAGAAATTGTAGCTGTAACTACATAAGACTAATCAAATGTATTTCCTTCACGTGAATATTAGCCATCTTGAGCATAAACAATAAATACGTAGAAAAAAAAGAAAATTATTTCGAATCCTGATAATGTTTCTAAAGGACCTAGCACCATGCCTGACACATAAGGAGCACTCAACACATGAGGAGCACTCGAAAGGAAGTTTCCTCTGTTTGGTTAGTTTCGACGTGATCCCACTGGCACTGGACTCAGAAGTGGGCCCCCCCCACACCAGCCCCACTGACCTTTCTCTTCTTGGATACCATCTCCAACCGCCGGGTAGTCGCTGCAAGTGCTTGGACATAAGTACAGCGCCTGCCGAAGCTCCAAGTTGAGAAACCACACTTGAAGAAATGTGTTGACATAACAAGTAGCTCCAAGGTTAGTGAGGCCCACAAATGAGTTCTACAAAAATATGAAATTTACAACTATAAAACTAATTTCCCTTTAAATTAAAAATAAATAAATAAATAATAAATATATATAAATATATATATATATGTAAAAAACATTATTTTTTAAAGTAACTTCAGACTAAAAATTTGTTCAAACTGTCTCAACAAACATGGTATAACCACCTTAAGCCTCTCCTGGCCAGGGGTGGGGCATCACTTTCATGAAAGCCCCACTGAGTTGACAACAGGAGTGGAAAAGATTAAGACAGCACCACAGCTCAGCTCTAGTCTTCTAGTCTTCTCCAGCCACTGTCATTTAAAGTTAGAACAGTGGGGGCCGGCCGAGTGGCTCAGTTGGATAAGAGCGAGCGTGAGCTCTGAGCAACATGGCCACCGGTTCGATTCCCACATGAGACAGTGAGCTGCGCCTGAGCTGAGCTGCTGCTGAGCTGCCAACAGCTGGCAGGATGGCTCAGCTGGTGAGAGCACATGCTCCTAACAACAAGGTTGCCAGTTCAACTCCCGCATGAGATGGTAGCTACGCCCATCCGCAACTAAGATTGAACACAGCACCTTGGGCTGAGCTGCCCTGAGCTGCCGCCGGTCGGCCGGATGGCAACTGGACTTAGAGCTGGGCTAGCTGCGCCCTCCACAACTAAGATTGGAGGACAACAACTTGGCTGTTTCCCTTCCCCAATTCCCCAACACTGTTCCCCTTCCCCAATTCCCCAATAAAATCTTAAAAAATAAATAAAATAAAATAAAATTAGAACGGTGGGCTCGAGGAAAGATCAGTTTTGAACATGGGTACGTAAGTTTTTCATTTGCTATATTCCTAAACTGCTGACATTCAAAAGAATGACAAAGTAAAACTTCCAGAAAAGTCTCTTTTTATCCTATAGGTCTGGGAGATGGGGGACAAGGGGAGTTGGTTGCAACTTTTTCCAAAGATAAGATTGAGAATTCCTGAACCTACAAAGAATCATTCTTTTTAATAGAGAAACTACGTATATGGCTGACAATTTTATGAATGCCAGGCTTTATGATTAGGAAATATTAATAAGTACTAAAAAAAGGTAAAACTATCTGTTATATATGTAACATACAGAAACAAAAGCTCAAGAAAGCAAAGTATATCATTATGGGAGCTTGTTCCCTTGATTTACTATCTCCTTTAAAGAAACTTAAAAGAGTTCAAAATAAAACATGTAACATTAAAGCGAAAATAGAAATCAGCATCTAAACTAAACTAGTATATAAAAGCTTACTGGATTACATAGCTACCTATTTTAAAGCAGACCATTAAGAACTGTTCCAATTCAAGCAGTTTAGAGTCTCAGGTTCCACTCCTTATCTTAAGCTACACAGGTTACCCGAAATCAGTAATGGTTTCTGATCATAAGCACAAAATAAAGCAAAAACAAAACAAAATAAGCAAACATAGGAATACGATATAAAACTTACAAATGATGGCTTACCTTTTTTCTCCTCTCACAATTGGGATCATCAATGTTATGAAAACTATTTTCATCTATTTCTCCTAACCAAATATGCTCACCAATCCCAACCAAGCAATTTGGATTTCCTTTGCAGTTTCGTCTAGGAAAAAAATACAGTTTACTTTAAAAATACCATAAGAAACATGCAAATTAAAACTATAATGATACACCATTTTTAATCTATTTCTCATCTGTAAGATTAGCAAAACTGTGAAAGTATACCACCACACTCAGTTTGTGAGGCTATTGAAAAGGAACTCATTTACTGCTGATGAGAATGCAAACTGGTAAGACTCGTATGGAGAGGAATTTTGCAGCTAGCCATTTCATTTCTAAGAATTCATCCTGAAGATATATTTCCAACAGTGCAAAAATACACTAAGTCTTTCATTACAGTTTTGTTTGTAATTGCAAAATACTGGAAACAACCCAAATGACCAAACATAGGGATATAGTGATATGCACACATAATGAAGTACTATGCAGCTGTAAAATGAAACACACACACAATTCTCTATGAACTGATATGGAGTAATTTCCAGGATATGTTAGAAAGTAAAAAAGCAAGAGTTATATACTATTTTTGTATGTAAGAAAGATGGGGAAATAAAATATATATCCATGTATCCGCTCATTTGAGCAATAAGAAACACAAAAGGATAAAACAGAAACTAATGAAATTGGGATAAAGGTAAAAACAAGGAGGGGTGTGTGACACTTTTCTGAATATACTGTTCTATATACTATTTACTATATACTATTAAATTCTG